AAGAGAGAGAGAGAGAGAGAAAATATTAAAAAGAGCGTTGAGCAATCGAAATGGGTTAAATATGTTAATCTCCCAAAGCGCGACGACGGCGCACGATCATTCCCGAGAAGCTGAGGAAGGCGTACGTACTTGCTAGATATTTGCCTGACGCACCTGTCTGAATTGCTCTTCGAAGCTCCAGTTACTTCCAGGGGTGTGTGTGCTGTTCGCCGAAGAGGCGCGAGCTTCACCGTCACGGGCTTCGCCGTTATTTCTCGAGTTTCCTTGCGAGGACTCTCCGTTATTCCTACGAGGAGGCACAGAATCTTTAGGCAGCGCAGCAGGAACTCTAGAGGAAGAAGCGGCGCAGGTCACAGCATGATTTTCGGCAATGTTCCCAGGATTCTCCGCCACTTGGGGATGATTGTTCTGTGAAGGCGTTGGCATTGACAGTGGTGGCGGTGGTGCTGTCGGCGGCATATACAGGGGTGAAAACAGGATATTACTTGCAACCTGTAGAGGGTCCAAATTACTCCTGCCTCCTAACATATCCACTTCATTACGCTATAAAAAGATCCATTAAAAAGTATCAAATTAGTCAAAATCGATCAAGAAATATGATAGAAATAATTCTTATCAAATATTCAATCGCACATCAGGACGCGATTTCCCTTTCGTTAAATCCGTGTACAAAACTTTATTTGATGACAGTTTCCAAAGTAAGTTTGGAATTGATAAAATTGTTTGAAATTATATGTTTTTTTATTAGCAAATAAAAAATTTTGGAGATGTCTAACTACTCTAATTGCTCATGGTGACAAGCGCAATAAAAAAAAGCATCAATTATCTCTACTTTCTAATTTCGCGAGAAATTCTCCTAATTTCTCGTCGCATCGCGGACAAACACTATTGTGCGCGAAAGCGCGATGCGATCTCTTATCGGAGAGACTACCGATCGTAAAGATACTCGTGCTCGCTCAGATCTGTCATCCGGTTTAGGCTGTTGCGTAATAAAAAAAAAAAAAAAAAAAAGAAATCTATTGTCACAGTGACATGGTGGTAACTCATTTATGACTGTCAACGTCCGCTGTTACGACTATCTCACGATTTTCCACAATTCGTGTCATTCTACCTTGGCACTTTTGTAGGTCAACGAACGCTCGAGCTTGCCGAGCGAGTTTTATGACGAATTATGCGGCTGCTTATCTTCACGGAAACTCAACAGGGCGGACGATAGGGAACTCCTCACAATAACGCTACTTTTTCGAAATCTGTGCGAATGCATCCTTCTCATACGTCTATTCCGACAGCCCGTACACTTGCCGAAATGCGAAGCAAGTGTCGAAAGATTAAATATAAACAGAGGTAAAAGGAAAAAACCGGAAAAGATCTCTCTCACTGACCTCCATTCTAATCTTCATAATCTGTGAATTCATCAGGTTGCTCAAGTGTGCCAGCGAATGTGCACTGGTAATATCCATGGCTTGCGAGTTCGCTTGAAGCGGCTGCGAAAGTGAGTCTTCATCATCCTGAGGTTCATCATCCAAATCCGACTCATCATTCTCCTCCTGATACTGAAATCGAAGAACACGAGAATTAATTTTATTCAATTCCTTCCAATTAAACGTGTCATTTGTATAATTAGCAGAATATATACATGCGATATATACACGTTGTTGTTATCGCTCAGAAATGACACGGTAAATTGCGTTATAAAATCAATTGACAAACATCCCTTATTTGATATTTCGATGTAACGCAGATTTTTTTTGTTTTTGCTTCACGCTAGCTTCAAGCAAGGTTACGATCGCACGAAGAACCCGGACGGTCGATGTTGTAGTTCGTGTCGTTGGAATGGAATAAAAAGCAGTAAGAATCGGTTGATAACGTGATATCAACCGTGCAAGTTTAATCGTGAACAAGGAGGGCAGATAGCGAGGCATTAAACATTAATTAGGAAAATGGCGAATGCGATGAGTTATATACACCGAGATAGCCGCTATCAAGTAACATTATTATGCTACGGGTGTCATAAGTGTTTTACGGCTGTGCCCATTGCACCGGAGCCGGCATAAAAATGTACAAGTCATATTACCGGGAACGGAAACGGCTATCGTAAAAAAACGAGATGGACGTTTCATATTTTTTCCTCGCTTGAAATTAACTCAACCTCTCGATAAATGTCCCACGCGCGGCTCTCAGACACGGCGAGTATCATCCATTTTCTTTTGTGGGCATCAATTTTTGCTTCCCAGATAAGATCGTCGAGATGTGTGCGCCTCGCAGAGGACAAGGAGAAAAAAATAAAGAGATATAATTATCAATAGCGTCGAGCAACAAATTTTGAGACTTTATGGATGCGCGTACATAAGCAATTTTATTCGTGATGGAACATTATACAAATGAGATCTGAGAGAGATGACATTCGAAAGGAGGGAAACCTCCTTGTTTCAGGGAGTGTCCCTCCTCTAAAAGAAATCTAAAAGAAAATGCAAACAGATTCATCGAAGAACCTTCGAGCATATTCAAATGGCGGGGAAGCGAGCTTTTACCTGGAAAGGGCGGACTTTAGAATAAATATATGCCTATCGGAGATGCAAGTGGATTCAACGGTAAATGCACCGATGTTGGGCTCAATCTTAAATGGGACTACGATCGGAAGGACGAGGCGTCCGATGGGCGACGTAGTGACAAACGCGCGGCCTCTCTGTCGGCATTTTGAGCACGTGTGATAATATTGACCCTCCACGGTGGTGGTCGGGAATGAATGAGCGGCAAAAAGTAGAAATCCTAATCAAATACGAAACAAGTTCATCTTTCAGATTTCGATCTAGGCCAGTCAACCGGCTATAAAACGTGTCTACGTTTTTATTTCAACCCGAAAAAAAAATTTCAGAATTAAATTGCTATTCGCCATTAAATAATCGATAAACGATAAAGTATTAAGACAATAATATAAACAATATAGTATATGTAAATAATATGTATATGTGTGTTATATTCGAAAACAATAAATTTCAAAAGTATCTATCGAATTGTTATGTGTGTGTGTGTGTGTGTGTGTGTGTGTGCGCGCGCGCGCGTCGATATGTGAAAAACTTCTCTCCGATAACGAATCGTGCAAGTCGCTGTGCGTTTCCGGAGGCAAGTGTTTACGCGAAAAATATCGTAGAAATCGCCGCGGCAGGAGGGGGGAGGCGTGAAAATAAATTACGGTGGTTAGCACCGCGGCAATCGTTATTCTCACCGTGGCATGGGGTTACGAATTATATCATTCAAGTGTTTGCGGACGGTACCGTCATTATAATAATCACGGTAGAGCCGCGTTCAAGAGTGCCATTGTTCTAGTCCGAGCCGAGCATTCGCACGTAGGTGTATGAATCTCGTATGTTAAGTGATGGAAGAAACGCACCGGTTGCATCCGTCCGAAGCAACGAATGTTCCCCGAAACGGACAGACATTCAATTATTAATTATCCTCAGATCTACGTTCGAGGATCTACGAACAGCAAACATCTCTTCTCCTTGCGCCTCTTAACTCTGTCATTTACATCGTGTTATAAATCATATTTAATTTATATTATTTTATTCCATTAAAATTTGAATTTATGTAAATATTGTTCCTCGAAAAATCCTTATTTCTTCAATATTCAGCTCCGCAGAAAGACAAATTATAGCGATTTATTCTTATAACCGTCATTCCATAACCTGATCAGTCCAGTTGGAGCATGGAATGAATCATCATGAAGACAACCAGGTAAGGCAAAGGTAAAATTGCCCTTGGACAATTGGACAATCAAGTATGATTCAACAACAACAAGCATGATTCCAATCACTCGGAAGAAAAGAATCCCATTTCAAATTCCAAAATCTTTCTGAGGATTAATGTAATTCACCGTATCGTCCATCGGTCGTATTTTCTTTATTCGAATATCCGTTTTTATACGATTATCGCCTTTTAACGAAACTTTTAACGCAGAAACTTTTAACGAACAAATAAATGAAATGCATTGGCGAACGTTGCCAAGAGAAACTTTACAAATCAAACATGGCGTTATATACACATTCCTTAAACCATTCTGTCTTATATTGTCACAGTTCTCCTCTCATTTCCCCC